TATAATTCATCTGGAAATTTGAAGTCTCTCTCTCTCTCTCCCGCGAATCTCTCTTCCAAACAGTAATCTAATCGCACAATCACCGTTCGCCGCGTCTACTACTGCTCCTCCCATATTTAGAGCGCGAGGAATTTTAAGTTTGAATGGGCTTCGCTGTAATGCACCTGGCGTTGGCTAAAAGATGGAAAAAAACCAGTCATTTACACAATATTAGATCGAAAGGAAGGCCCTTTCTTTCTCCTTTACAATTCGTTCCTCTCTTCTCTCGCCTAGAGAGAAAGACAGATAGAAGGAAATCCACGGTTTTCTTTTTCTGCTTCTTTGGCTGAAAGAATGGCCGTGGAAACGGAGCAAAGAAAGTACATTTCTTCTCAGGAGCTTAAAAAGCACAAATCTCCCTCTGATCTGTGGATTTCAATCCAGGGCAAGGTATACGATGTAACCAATTGGGTCAGAGATCATCCAGGGGGCGAGATTCCGCTCTTCGATCTCTCCGGCCAGGACGTCACCGATGCCTTCGTAGCTCACCATCCCGCCTCCGCATGGAAGCTCCTTGACCGATTCTTCGTCGGCTATTACCTCTCCGATTACGAAACCTCCGAAGTATCTAAGGATTACCGTCGCCTTGTCACCGAGTTCTCAAAGCTCGGTCTTTTCGAAGAAAAGGGGCATGGTGTATTCTTCTCTTTTTGCTTCATGCTCGCCCTCTTCTTCACCTCTGTATGCATGGTCGTCGCCTCCACCAGCTCGTTGGCACACCTCACCGCAGGCGTGATAATGGGTTTTCTCTGGATCCAATCTGGATGGGTAGGGCATGATTCCGGCCATTATAACATCATGCTCAACCCGGCTTTGAATCGATTGGCCCAAATCATTACTGGAAATTGCCTTACCGGAATAAGCATTGCATGGTGGAAGAGAACCCACAATGCCCATCATGTAGCCTGCAACAGTCTTGATTTTGATCCAGATTTACAACACATTCCCTTCTTTGCCGTCTCCTCTAAGTTATTCAACTCACTCACCTCCTACTTTCATGAAAGAACTATGACCTTCGATTCCATTGCAAGGTTTATGGTCAGCTACCAGCATTTAACCTTCTACCCTGTGATGTGCTTCGCAAGATTCAATCTTTTTGCCCAGTCTATAATCCTCCTCCTGTCAAAGAAGAAGGTGCCTTACCGATGGCAGGAGATTCTAGGATTAATCGTGTTCTGGATTTGGTATTCATATCTTATATCTTTCCTGCCGAACTGGGGAGAAAGAGCTATGTTTGTTGCTGCCAGTTTTGCCATTACAAGTCTTCAGCATGTTCAGTTTTGTCTCAGCCATTTCTCTTCCAGTGTTTATGTTGGTCAGCCACAGGGGAATGATTGGTTCGAGAAACAGACAATGGGGACCCTTGATATTTCTTGCTCTCCTTGGATGGATTGGTTTCATGGCGGATTACAGTTTCAGGTGGAACACCACTTGTTTCCTCGCCTTCCGAGGTGCCATCTTCGGAGAATAGTTCCTCTTGTAAAGGAGCTTTGTAAAAAGCACAAATTACAGTACTCGAGCGTTAGCTTCCTTGCTGCTAATAAGATGACAGTGGCAACTCTGAGGAATGCGAGCTTGTGAAGAGCCTAGCTCATGCCTTGTGTTTCATCCTTTTTATAAGATTTCATTTGTTCTGTAAGGAAGTTTTGCATATGCTCTGTTGCTATTTTGCATATGTATATGCATTGCCTAATGCCTGGAGACAGTTCATCATTGTTGTTGAATCTTAATCATGGATTCTTGCAGATGCACTAATTATATATTTGTCAATGACATGCAATCTTTTTTATACTAAAAGCATCATGGGGAAAGTTATTTTTGAGTATCTTATCTTTATTATGATATATGTGAATTGAATTCCCTTATATTTATTTAAATAACAACAGTTTGCATATACTATTCCTGTTTTTTTTGAATCTTAATCTTGGTGAAAAGATTTGGGGTTTGGTTGTAAAATTTTTGACGGATTATTACTCCCTTTAAACTTGACCAAACCTTGAGATTAGTTTAGTGGGTATGGGTTCTTCTGGTTGATATGGGTTTTGAAAGTTTGTCAATGTTTTGAATTTGAAACTATATTTTGAGATGTGCAAATAATATGCATATAAAAATAAAAAGCCTTGAGATTAGTTGAATTGTTTAAAGATAAATACACATTTGAGGAGGCTCATTTGTGAAGCATTTACATCTCTTCTTCTTGAAGAAATATATTTCAAATTGTTTTTTTTTTTCTATGAATGACAAATGCTTTGTAACTTTGAACAAGTGAAAATTCAGAGGCTTTTTGAGAAGTAATTAACATAAATCAATGTTAAGTAGGCTTTAGTATTTAGGGTTTGGGACATTTAGCCTGTTTTAGTCTTTATGATGCTGGCATTTCATTTTATAGATTGAAGTGGAGTGTAGGATCTTGTTTCTCCAATTCACTTGAGAATAAGATGCATCTAATTTAGTTTGTTCTTAACATAATAATGCTTTAATAATTAAATTACAAATTATACACGTCGGTTGGTTTTCACGCTTAACAAAAGGCAACCAAGTGATAGGAGATAGGCTACTAGTCTCATCCCCTTCTTGCAAATCATTTGTTGATATAATATAGTAGCCCTCAACTGTAATTAGTCTCATAAAAGTTATATTGTGTGCAATACTATAAGAAATATTTTGGATTTGTAAAAGGGCATATGTGGAGATTTAGTAGCAATAAATTTATGGAAGTTATTTTATTCATTTAAATAAATTAGATTGTGTATATTTTATAATTAATATATAAAAAAATTTCTATGAAATTAAATCTTTAAGTTATAGTGAGGATTTGAAGAATAAATGGCGAAGATACTTTTAGGTTGTACATATTAAATAACTCATACTCATTTTTGGCTAAGTAAGAAATATATTTTTAGGTTATACATATTAAATAACTCATACTCATTTTTGGCTAAGTAAGAAATATATTTTTAGGTTATACATATTAAATAACTCATACTCATTTTCACATTAAACGTCGACCATCTGATATCCGATTAGGAGAGTATATGTTTTAGATTCGACTTATGTTAAGAAAGATAGAGGTAGGCCTAGGAAAACTTGGGCTTATTGTATAAAAATGATCTTAATTTATTAGAACTAAATGAAAATATGGCACTAAATAGGACACAATGGAGAAGAAGGATTCATGTAGCCGACCCCAGGTAGTGGGATTAAGGCTTTGTGTAAGAAATATAAATTAGTAAAAAATATAAGAAATATTTAATTACATGTGTGTTTTTTAATTGCATTTTTGTTGTGTAATGTTCTTTGAAAGTACTTCTTTAAATGTTTAGTTGATTTAGATTTTTTGAAATTTTAATCTGTAAAGCACCTTGTAATGGAGGAAGTGAGATCATCATCATCATCTAAATATTGGATCACTTGTGATCTTATTTGGTAAGTAATAAGTAATATCATTCATTTTTATATGCATATTTCTTGCTATTTGTTTATATGTTTTTAATCATTGATAATATGTTGAGAAATGTTTGTTTACTTTTATTACTTCTTGAGATTATATTAATATGAGGTCATAATTAGCCTTATCATTTAATTTGCTACATAAATTTATAAAAATATGGTGTACTTCATTGTGATTATTTAGAAATATCCACCGCTAATAAAAATTATGAACTAACAAAGACAAATTCTCTAGTACATAAGTAGGTAGAGTCACCGTAAGTCCCCTCTAGCAAGGGTTTGATCCCTATCGTGGTGCGTGGGGGGTCAGACACATGGCACGAGCTCTCGTCATGAGGCTGGATTGCGCAAAGGAAATCGATATTTGGGTCTCTGCCAAATATCGATTT